TACTACTACTACTACTACTATTGAAACCGTATAGTAGCACCAGGCCCGAAGGAGCTGGAGCAGAAGTGGTGGCAGTAGTGGTAGCAGCAGCAGCAGCAGCAGCAGCAGCAGCAGCCAGCAGTAGCCGTAGCAGGAGCAGTGGGGTACGCCTGCCCTCCATGAATCTGTCAGACCCCAATTCTGAAAACCTTTCACAAACGCATTGCTTTGCATCTTAAAACCCGTTGTGTAGAGAAGCAAAGACACGGACCTTAGATCACATCGTGATCAGAAAAACACAGAGCGAGACAGAGCTGGAGAGAGTGGAGAGCAAATATACAAAGAGGACGGAAGAAACGTGCGCTGCGAGTAGCGTGCCCAAGCCTGATAGTACCGCCTGTGATGTCACATCGACTGGACAAGCTTAAGGCTCTACACGGTTCAATGCTCGATGTTGTGGAGTGGTTGAACAGGATGGAAGATAGCCGCAGATGTTCAGACATCTGAGCACCACATGGTCATGGTGCGCTGGCGACAACAGCGGGCAGAAACAAGCAGCAAGCTGGACCGGCTCGTCAAAGGCATGAACAAGCTCTGGATATCTGAGAAGGAATGCAATATCAGCAGTTCAGCCGCAGCACATCTGCTGCCGGAACAAACACAACTCTTAGAACGCCTCTTTACGCATGGCAACAAGAAGTACAGAGTATTGAGTATTGGCCAACAGGTATGCCAGTAAAAGAGTACTGCAGTGCATGATGACTGGCGGCTGAGACTGTCACAAATGCACGAAGCTATATTATGTCATGCATTCGGAAGCTGCATTCGTCATGTATGTCCCGAGATGAACAGATGTGCTGAAGCGTGTGCTGACTATTGCGGAATTCGAGATTGGGCAGCGTGCACCTCGTACCACTTCTATCGCAACCTTTGCACCCCACAGGTTTCAGCAAAAGAAATCTCTCGGTGCAGTACAAGCATCAGCATAATCCGAAATCGCCACTGTGCGTTTTCCACCCCCCGTTCTTATCGTTCAATAGCCTTTAGCCTGAGCTGCGATATTTACCGTCTTTCGACCTAGTATTAGGTGAGAGCACCTCGGGCTGCCCAATCACTTATTGCAGGTTCGCCGAAGATGCGGCAAGTAAGTATAGAATCCCGCTGGCGACTCTCTGGACGGCATAAGGCTTCTCGACACAACAATGATGGCATTAAAATCACCGACCTCCAGTTCCCGTGCTGACGACAGGACGGGAGCCGTCTTATCATGCCGGGTGTGAAACTTTGGAGGCGGTATCTGGCTTTGGGACATAGCCGTGATCTCCTGCATCACCTGAAACATTGACACCTCTTGAACCGTGAGCATACTTGCACCATTAATGGTTGCCGCCAGGGACATCACCGCGCGCCCCGTGGCGAAGGGTGCTCAGAGCTGGATTCTTGTGGCCTTCTTCTTCAGATCGCAGAGGGCCTGACCCAGGCTGTGGCCGCGCACCACAGGCAGTTTGCCTGACACAGTGGCAGATCGGGATCTAGAAATGGAGAAAAGCAGCTGATAGGGAAGAGCGGCCACGTAAGCCCTCGCTGCAGTGAGCGGCTTTGACTGTGATAGCAGGTCAATTGAAAGCTGCACTGTACCCGCGACCAAGTGGGGCGGCTCAGGGCCCTAGACGTGGTCTTGGGATCGTTTTCGGGGGCGGGGGGGCTACATTCCTACTAGTGGCCGCAGAATAACCCGTCACTGAATGAGGATGCCATGACAGGCTGGACCTTCCTGAACACACCAGCATCTAAGCCAGAAATGGAAGCCGAAACAAAGCCCACGTGCATGCGCCTGATTGAGGCCTCACCTGGGAGCTCTTTGTGTGTGCGACGTCGATGTCCACCTTCAATCAGGGATTTCGACTGGCCGTAATGTGACTAATAATGTGTCTCTCTGTAAGTGCGCCCACATGCCCCCGCCTCCTTCAGATGCACCCCAGAATCGATGGAAGTTCTTCTATCTGGGCCTGTAAAGCTTTCACGTCTCGGAGTCTTGCTTGTTGGTCGTGACACCAGTGATCGCAGGGAGGGCGTCTCAGGTGCAGATGGTGGTGCAGGTGCCGGGGATGAAAGGCCTTTGCCGGAGGCCCGACACCGAAGGACAATGTCCCTCAGCCTCCAGGGGGTAGTCTTCCCGCTCTCGGCCTTCATCAAACCCTTACCATCACCGCGCTCCGAGTCGAAGAATGAGAAAGTCATGGCCTCCTCCTCATCGTCTGAAAAGCTGCGTGGGACAGTTGGCATCTTTTGCATGGCATTTGTCCGCCCTGGCACATGTCCGGCACAAGCCTTCTCATCCTCACTGTGACAGTGGTCATCTGCGAGCTCGCCTAGATCGAGACACACGCGAGTTCTGTTTGCGCCGGATGCTTCGTCACTGGCGAAGGCGATCTTGTGGTCATCGGAGTCTGCAGGAAAAGAATCGGTTGTAGACTTGCCCTCCTTAGCTGAGCCTAACCACCTTGTCAACCGTGCGCGCACTCACAGGGGGGTAGAGCAACATACCAGCAAGGCACGCCTCTACTGAGCCATCTACTAAAGATGGGGTAGAGGTGTCGACCTTGTCTGGGCTTGGAGTCCCAGATGGAAGGCTCCTAACCCTCGTCAGGCCTTCTGGACTGGGAGTTTAAAAGTTTTACAAGTCTCAGCCATGGCTCTGAGCTCCAAAAGCCCCCAGGAGGCCGTCGACCGGCCTCGTGTTATGGATGTGACACATCGTGCCGCACATCCGATCTATCTGTCACGTAGTTGCAAAGCTGCCAGGGACTTCCCGACGAGATCTCCAAAGCAGACACTATGTGGGAACTCTGAACTACGGGCCCCCGATAAAAGACCGCATGTCCTGCGCGCCTTCCTTTCCCGAGGGGACGGAGGGCGAATGTCGGTGACCTTTGCGACTGTGCGAGGGTGCGAGCCCTGATATGCTCTGATCAACTTGACTTCCTCTAGCAAGAAACCGACGTCAGGGAAGCAGGATCCGGCAGAAAGTTGAAGCAGAACCTTCGAAGACTACGCTGCGGTCATGGAGAGCCTGCCAATGCCAAACGACTGCCGCAGCTGCCCTATCAGTCAGGAGGCCATACAGAATGGTTGCAAATTTTATGATACATTGCCCCAGATAACAGCGAAAGTGAGCCTAGAGCAGTATGACAGACGGGACCGTTCCACTCCTTGGGACCCGGGCTGGAAAGTTCATCCTCGCCGGTGCACGCAACTAAGCCCACCGGGTCCAGGAGGACGACTCGGACAACACCTGCGCAATGCAAAACAATGGAATGCGTGTTTGAAGCAGTGATCCGAAGCAACGGGCTGCCAGTAAAAAAGGCGGCCAGGACGGTTCCACGAGCGCTGTGGGCTCTTGACAGTCGGATACAATAAGCGGGTTGCACCAAGTCTTCTCTGTCCCTGCAGATCTGAAGGCCAGCACAGCTTCCGAAAGGCTCCGCCCCTCACGCACCCACACGATTACAAAGCTGTGTGGTTTGCACCTCTGTCGTCTGCACCGACACTCGAGGCAAGCTCCCTTTCGAGCCAAGAGCCGGTGGCATCAAATAAGTTCTTTCGCCCTCCCTCCAACTCGCAAGAAAGCCCTACAATCATGACTCATGCCCACTGATCACGTTTTGACTGGCACGCCTTCCAAACTCTGAATCTTGGCATCCTGTCCCCTGGTCTCCAAACCCTGATGCGTAATGAAAAAGTGGCCGTGCACCTCAAGCCCCGACATGCCTCGGACTGAGGGCGTGACAAGTATCGAGCCTCGTCAGGCCGTGGGACTAGACGGGGACAACGACACGAAACTCCGAGTTGGGAAAGGCCAAGGCTTACTAAGTAATGTCTTGGGTGCCGGCAAGCTATTGAATTGCTTTTTTGGCTTGGTCTTTATTTGCTGTTGGAAAGTGCCAGATAAAGTAGCTTCTTCTATGGCGCCCAAATCAGAAACCAAGCAAGAGCCAAAGAAGCGAAGGTCAATTCAACGAATTGGAGGTGGGGAAGGCCAGCAGTGAGCAGCACATTCATGGAAATCGACAAAACAGAGCAACTGTCAAACGGCAAGGAGACAGACAACAAGGCGGACAGAAGGACCAACGGAAACATCAGCAGTGTCGATGAATGGAGCCGTAGATGAAACAGGCAAGACAGCTACATTACACGCGTACGCATAGGAATGGCTGCGCAGTGGTTAGGCAGGTCGGCGGCACAGGTCCGACGCTTGGCGGAGACAAGAAGGCTCTGATCCCTGGGCTCTGATATTGAACTTCAACGTTTCAACACAGGTGTAGCGGTTTCAGGCCAAATTGTCACACACACACACATATATATATACACACACACACTCACACAGCCCCCGGCATCCTTCAAAAGCCAACCTCGAAGCCGCAACAGAAAGCTCCGTAGGCCAGGGACAAAGCTGCCACGCAGACTTCTCGTATCTGCAAGCAGATCCAAGCCCTGTGGACCCTGCCAGAGAGATGTGCAGCTTCGCAGTCATCACAGAAATGTTCTACATGTTCTGCACACATTTCTGCCGACTGAGTGTCGGGAAGGGTATCCACATGCTACTGTGGCGTGAATGGCTACTCTTCCGAAGACGAAGCAAGCGGTCTTCCGTCCCGCTGAGATGGAAGGGATTCTGCATGGTCTCACTTGCACGGTGCCTCCGCGACGAGCCACGGCAGCGGAATGTGAGCGTGGCTGTCCACGCTTCGCCGGAGCACCACCTAGATCCAATAGAGGCGAAAGAACATGAAAGAACCTCATTAACGTCTGCCTTCGACCTGCGCACCTCTGAAAGCAACAGTCTGCCTGGAGAGCATGGAGCAGGCCAAGCACGTTCCAGCGGGAGGCCTGAACCGCACTCCACGCCAAGCACTGGGGGCTGATGTTCTTCGATTGGGACCGAGGTCCGGGCGTGCTTAACAACTCGCAAAGAAAGAGAATCGGATCAGTGGCGAACAATCTAAGCTCAGATAGACTAGAACGAGCATGGTATTTGTTTCTTATGCTGTGAGTTTCTCCCCTTGTGCGACCGGCTTTTCCTCATGCTGACGGTTTCTCCCCTGATGCGAAGATGCGAAGCTAGCTTTTCCTTTTTGCGAACCTGGCTCTTGCATATGCGAACCTCCTCGCCGCCCCTTCCGCCCCCCCCCCCCTGCCACTGCATGCACGGCCTGGCAAATGGAGACAAGAACTTGGTGTGCCTTGGCATTCCTCGATGAATGCAGGGCGGACGTATGGGGAGCGAGCACATGGACAAGCCAGGTTCGCATAAGGAAAAGCCAGGCTCAGGTGCACATAAGGAAAAGCCCAGCGAGCATAAGGAAAAGCCTGGCTCGCATATGGAAGGGAAAAGAAAAACCATTCGCATAACGCCTGAAACAAAAGACGGGCGAGAGGGGGAGCACGAAACAGGAGCATAAGGACTAAACCACACAGAATGAAAAAAAAATGCCCAGGCCGATTAGAACTTGTGAACCCAGCATTAGGTGGGAGAAGCCCGTTCATGTGCTGCATGGGGCTGATAGTTCTCAACAGCGCAAACTGTAGACACCGCAGACCTAGCTGGTTAATGTGATTGCATCCCGCTCGCTTGGGCACAAGCCAAGACCTCGCTCAAGGGGTCTGCCGTGGAGATGTTTCCCAGCTCATCCCTGGATGCGTGTCTGCAGTCTAGGGTGACAAATTTGGCTGCTTCTGCTTCGGATGTGGGAAGCTGACTCGGACCACGCAGCGATTCTCACGGTTCCGATCAACACCGTACAATCATGCATTCTTCCATCAATGCCATCGTGGAGCATGCATTTCGATGGTCGCCCCCCATTCGCATACGTGTTCTCAATCCGCCATACCCGGAAGTTCTGAACCATAGCAACGACAGCCCGCGTGATGTCACAACTATCGTGACAGCCCAAGATGTCTACATCCACGGAATGTCCGCAAAGCCCATTCCATACCCCAAGCCTGCGCTGCGGAGCTTGAGACAAGTCTCCCTGGCTGCGCACAAGAGGTCCAACACTGAAACCCGCAGTCCCTCCATCCCCCGAAGTCTTGTCGTGCTTGTGCAGAATGTACATGCCGATGGGCGTGTGGCTGTGGCCTGGAGCCACTTCATCATGTGGCCTCGGCTTTGTTTGCTGGCTTCTCGAGGTAGGGATGCCGGGTCTGGGGCTGCGGGAGTGACCTATCTTCCGAATTTCTGGCAAGGAACAGTCACGCGATCTCTCTCCGACAGTCTCTCACACGAAACTGACTACAGTCCCAAACATGCTAAAGGCTACCATAAAACGTGCCAGTGGCAATGGTAGTTACTGAAAGTCAGGCGCTGTGCACAATGTGCCGGAGCGACAGATGCATCGCGCACCGAAATTTATTGCACAAAAGCACTGCCTCCAGACCAAGTCGCAACTGTTCAACAACTTCCCACGCTTTTTTGCAACATGTCACACTTCTCTCGCACAGAATTTCTCTCTGTGAAGCTATTCTACACCTTGCCGAACCCCAAGCCTGCCATATACGTGTGTATGTATGTGTATATATATATGTATATATATATATATCAGTTTACACG